TGAATGATCTAGTCTTAACTGATAATGACGATGGTGTGATGCATCTCAACCACGATTTATGTAATAGTAGTAAGAGTAGCCGCGGCTCCGGCGGCTAGTAGAGACATGATGCTATTATTAGGTCCTATGGCATACCCCTGCTGAATGGTCTCAGATAATTTACGATTGGGTAGTAATAGTAATAGTATATGGTATAGATGTAGGAGTGTGCATATCCTGTCCAATCAGGTTATTAATACGGGTAAGTTAGGCTCGGTTGAGACTGTATTCTCAATACATAGTGGAGAGGATGCCATAGGAACAGGTAGGCTGCTCCTACCCTTATTATTACCAGGATTATAGGATATTCTTAGAATTCTATGGTCTACCCCCTGAGGTAATCATGCTTGCTTTAGACAAACTCGATCTAAGTGGTAAATGTGAGATATTTAAAGGGAACACTACTGATGCTACTGGTGTTAAGTTCTTTACTAGTAATGCTTTGTAGATTATTTCTTATACCTCATTACCATCTTTGGTTCTATCATCATCATCATCATCATCATCATCATCATCATCCAACTACCTTAGTTATAGTTTATTAACCTTCCATGTACATTCGACTTTGCCATTACCCATTGTTACTATCACCGACACATCGGCATTGCGACATCGCACAGCGAATATTTTGGATATCTGGGAGCCGCTGCAATAGCAGTAGCAGCAGCAGTAGCAGCAGGAATCTAACAGGGGTTGCTAACAAAGGTTCCAACCCAGCTCAAGCGTAATGGACTAGGATGTATTGGGATAGGCTACTCGTCGTTTACATACAAGGGAGAGTTCATCAAATCATGCGGGGATATTTATTATATATCTATGCGTATCTATTGATGTACATGGTGAATTAGGCGATACTCCCTCTCCCTCCTCCTCCTCAATACGTAGTACACTGTATCATCCGTGTATAACTTGTTCATACTTACTAAAGTCATCATATTGTTATCAACTGTAAGAATAATATAACGGTACTGTCCATCATATCCGATGGACGGTATTGGGTATAACTATTTTGTTAGGAAGGTAATAACGTACGTAGAAGAACTTTCCAGTATATTCATGACTGTAGACGACGACTACGACGACGCTGGTGTTATAACACTACTTGTTGTGTCCCGCCGTAAATTGTAGGTTTGCAAGACGTCGACTAGAGCAGTCACGGCAAGCTAAAGGCTTAGCGGCTGATGGGAAGCCCTTACCTGATAGAATAAGTAATAACATGATGATGACATGTGCCGGGATCGAACCTACAACCTATACTTAGGTTTTGATAAGGACTATCTAGGCCTACAAGCTGACCTTATGTACAGTCTTAATGATTTGGGACCTTCTTCTTCCACTGCTAATTCTGCTACACCATCGGGTATACGAGGATCTATAAATGTAATATCATACATGAATTACTATTCACAGTAATGAGTATACTAGGTCCTATTGAATCGTGCTGACACTGGTTATGTTCGAAAGATTGTTAAGTTCGCTAATACTGTCACTGGATCTACAATACTCTCGACTACTGCTTGTTACTTTTTAGGATATGTAATACCTTTATAGTATAATTACCACCCTTATATCTATTCTTAGATGGATGCTTATGATACCATACCTTTCATAACAGCCTTAACTACAATGTGGGTCGGTAATAATAAGGGATATATACAACTCACACCAGAGGTGCTCATGTATGCCTCTGCTGCCACTTATCTCTAGGTTTACATGTTTACCTTACAACTTATGTATCTCGAATAGTGGTTGATACTGGCAAGGCACAGATGGCTATTCGAGCTCATAATCTATCAGGAAGGCCTAGCAGACCAATAGTGGTGAGGAGGACATGATTCGGATTTATTGCAACATGGGATCGCGGTACAATAGTTAGGTCGTTGGATGGCAAAGCTGTAGGTCTCGGGTTCAATTCTCATACTTGTTGTTTAGTTCCCTGTACATGGTATGGAGAAAGTAGAAGTCGGTGATAAGTACATACGGTTCCGTACTAAGAAGCAATTCTGGACTATATCAAGAATATTCCCTTTCCGAGTTCCCAGGATGCATACTATATCTGGTACAAATCTATCATCACCATCAACAGTACCATTCACGACGAGGTAGTATACTTTTTTAGATTCCGACCGATATGATAACTTATCCAAAGATTTGGTAACTACATCAGATCTAGGACAGGATTATTTCCAACTCAATAGTACAGCAGTATCAACAGAGGTCGTTAACCCAGGTTTACCAGCATCATCATCACCTGATGGTATGATGATGAGGATTGATGGCAAGAGAGCCAAGTTCATAGGAGCTGGTGTTGGGGTATCAACAACAACAACACATGGCAATAGTCAAGGATCACACTTCATGGGGAATACTAAGCAGAGAGGAGGTATTCAATAGGTGTCTTTAGAGGCTACTTATATCAGGAGTGCGTCCATTCATATAATGATCTTATTAACTTAATACCTACCCATTTCAATCAGCCATCATCATCATGTTGAGCATTCCTCTTATCATCAAGTGGTGTATAGATGTTGTTAACGTTGATGGGAATTCACCCTTCACTGACTATGATCAGGATAATGTAGGTTTATATAAATACTTATACAATACCTGAGGATATATATACTGTTATATATAAAACGAATAGTCATATTCTCCAACTGATGATGATGATGAACGCAGCATACAATGTTAAAGTCGACGCTTTACTACTCTAAGCCATTTCTATTGTATTCCATAATCTTCCAGAGGCTTCCTCATTAATATATAGCCACCACAGGTACACATGTCTGACAACTAACAAGAGTAATTATTACTTGAAATTTCTTCCTCCTCATTTTCGTATCTCCTTATCTACAATCTGGTCAATGTAGCACTGCCCTTTATATTAGCCTATTATAATAGCCTTTGTATTGGACACTCCTTAGATGCAGAGAGGAATACGGTGATAGCGAAGGCTCTATCACCAATAACGAATTGGTGGGATAATATATGGAAAGAGGATGAGAAGGAGAGGGTTGCATCAGTGAGAGGGAAGTTTAGGATAGAAAAGTAAAGATAGTCATTATCGATCAAGTGATCGATAATTGTATCATAAATAGGTATAAGTATCAGATGCCAGACTCAGCAGATGGAGTTTGGAAAACTGGTGGCATTCCAGAAGTGAAGA